TTAACAGCAGAGTGCAACGAAGCAGCGTTATTCTAATCTCAAATAAACGAAGTGCAGCCGGTAACTGCAATGAATTCCCATCCCGTACGAGCCGTACCGAGTTTGGCCTTGTCTAGCCCGACAGAAATCCGCTCTCTAGTTATTATGCACAATAAGGGAAACGTTTAGGTAATATTGATAATAACTAACTGAGGAATAGGAATTATGCGTAATACCTGAAACATTAGTCATTAAGCATATTGCCTAATAGGCCAGGGCCGATAATTTTTGAGAACAAAAAAATTTAGAACAGGATGATACCCATTGGAAAAGGAAGAAAATGTATAAAAGGGTAGAAAACGGTTTATCACGATTTCCGGTAAAACTACAAGTCCTATCGAAAAAAGTTAAATAGCGAAGTTCTAGGTAATAAAAGGATCTACAACTTTTGTATTTAGACTTTTTTACATAACCTCAAGATTTATGCGAAAAATGCAAATAACCGAGTTTTTGGTTTTTTATTTTTATCTCCCACAAAAAAGTTTTTTTTCCACGAAATTTGGTGAAAACTATGTCCCAAACTCACTGTAATTTTTTTGATTCAAAATATTTATTTTTCCCCCTTATTTTGATTTAATATCGAAAAACCACTCTAATTTTCAATCAAAAATTCTCACGTTAAAATCGGTGTGCTTTTTGTTCGTTGAAATCTCTACTTTCTGATGGTGTAAAAAAAGGTATACATTACTATGGCAAATTTTCACAAGAATTCCAAAAAAAAAAACGAAAAACTCGAATTCGAATTTTTTTTAATCATGTAAAATTTTGAGCTATTTATTAAAATTTACACTTTAATTACTCGAAAAAGTAAGATTCCATGTTACACTGATAAACTCAAAAATTTAAAATCCATAAAACAAACGCCTTCTGTTGGTGGGAGATTTGTCAATATGAAAGATGATTTAATTCTTGCCAATTGATTTTCGAAATCTTAATTGAGTCAGTGTTATATTGTCATTTTTACATTTATAAATATATATTTGATTAATTGTAATCCATTTTTTGCGATATCTTCTTTATTTGCCTGTTTTTATAAAAAATATTGGTCAAATTTGACAAATTTTTATCGTCTAACTAGCAGACCCAGCAAACGTTGTTTTGCCATATAAATTATTTCTAGTGAATATTTTAGTAGTTAAATAAAAAATTAAATCAAAATAAATAAATTCTAATTAAATTAAATTATAAATTATACATAAAAATTTATCGTACGACAATGATTATATTCAACAGCCATCTTGAACCCTATTGCGTATCTGTAAGATACTAATATCGTTACTACAAGATGGGGGTTGATGGTAGAAGGGTGAAAATTTAGGGTTATATGTATTTTTTGAAGTCAAATCTTAAAAAACAAAAATAACAAATTTTGTCCGAAAAATAAAAAAAACTTTTTGGGTGGGCCACCTTTATCACCTAGGGGTATAAAAAATAGGTTACGACCTATTCTCAGACCTACCGAATATAGACAGAAAATTTGATAAAAATTAGTCAAACCGTTTCGGAAGAGTTTGGTTGTGAAAAATAGATCTTTTACATTTCCAGATCCTGGTTTGAGAAAATAAATGTCATAATTATTTGAATTCAATTGATTTAAAAAGACCAAAATATCTTGACCCACAACTATAACAGTTTTATTAGTATCTCTGGCAGTTTCTATCGATATCTTAATTATGTCAGCATCAGCATAGTCTTCTGCTTGTTTACAGGAAAATCCTTGTGACTGTAGATTCCAAAAGTTTCTTTTAAATAAGTCAATTCGCCATGATTCTTTTTAACTAACTCAGCCTGCACGTGTGTTTTCATAGACGATGTTGTTCATTCTTCTGATGGGCTAAAATTTTCCGTAGGCCATTCAGATATGTAAGTTATCTTAAAATAGCAATAAATAGGCACCTATGCATATAATTTAAAAATTACCCTACAACTTTAACAAAATATTGTAGATGTCTAAAGATGTATAAAGTATTAAGTGTATTAACTTATTTCGTTGTTAATTATATTTATTATTTATTAATTTATCAATGTAACATGGAATATTACGTTTTTCGAGTAATTAACGTGTACATTTTAATAAATAGCTCCAAATTTTACATAATAATTAAAAAACAAATTTTTGAATTCGAGTTTTTTCGTTTTTTTGCATTTCCTGTGAAAATTTGCCATAGTAATGTATAATTTTTTTTACACCTTCAGAAAGTAGAGATTTTAGCGAACAAAAAGCACACCGATTTTTTTAAAACAGCAAATATTTTGCGTTGAGAATTTTCGATTGAAAATTAGGGTGGTTTTTCGATATTAAATCAAAATAAAGGAAAAAAATAAATACTCGTAGTTTGGGACATAAATAGGTAAGTTTTCACCAAATTTCGTTAAAAAAAAAATTGTGGGAGATAAAAATAAAAAACCAAAAACTCGGTTATTTGCATTTTTTGCATAAATTTTCAGGTTATGTAAAGAAAGTGTAAATACAAAAGTTGTAGATCTTTTTATTACCTACAACTTTGATTTTTAACTTTTTGCGATAGGACTTGTAGTTTTGCCGGAAATCGTGATAAACCGTTTTCTACCCTTAAAAGCTCACCTTCTTCCCCTTCCGGACCTCAGATCGCCCGTAAATTATGTTTCCTTTTATTTTTGTTATATTTTCTTCCTTTTGCAATGGGTATCATCCTGTTCTAATTTTTTTCACTTTTTATCATTTTCAAAGGCTTGGCACTGGCCTATAACATGTCCAGCTGATTTCAAAAAAACGGGACAAGATGAGCAATTCAGGTTCTCATAGATTATGAAAAGCAATGGGAATATGACGTTTATATAACTGTAATTTGTCCCTTTTTTTTTTTAAATACATGTAATATGTAGGGGAAAGCGGGGCAGGGTGGGTAGCTTTTTGGAAAATATTATGCATAATTCCTGTTCCTCTGTTAGTTATTATGAATATTACCTAAACGTTTCCGTTATTGTGCATAATAACTGAAAATTTCAGTTATTACGCATAATCCCTAATGTTTCCGGTTATTATGCATAATAACTGATGAGTTTAGTTATTACGCATAATTCCTAAAATGTCTAGTTATTATGCATAATAACGGATTTTGGATATTAGCTGTAACATATATATCAAGTTCAAATTTCCATTGTTATGTAAATATAAAAGCTTTTTCTGGCATGTTTTTAACCCAAAATTAAAAATGAATTTAAAACACGACATAAATTAATGCCGAAAGATTTAAAGACGGGAAAAAGGACGATTACTAAAATCAAATAATTATCCCACAATATGTGAAATTTTACACTTTCTTGAACGCCCCTCGTACCTTTGGTATATTTGTAACATGTGGGTCTATTATCAATTATTCGGATCAATATTATTTTATTGTTTTGAGTAATTAATAACCATATTCGTTCTAATGAAACATAAAAGACAGTTTTGCAATAGTTATAATAAATCTGACTCAACTTTAACGAAGTTTAAAAATGGTGGAAGAAATAATTGAAACCATTTGAGTGCCCAAGGACCTAGTTAACTTTTATTATGTCAAACATTTATTATTTAAATTACCAATCAATAACATAAAACAATAGAGGTTCATTTTTAGTTTCGAAGCTATGCTATAACTTACGGAAGTATTGTAGCAGACGGATGTGTGACTGGAGAGTTCTCGTTTCCCTTGATTTGTTGGTCTGTTTGTCTGTCTGTTGGCGGTTTTATTGGACAAATAATTCGAGAGTTTTTACCGATTATTGTGAAGATGAGTAATCAATATTTATCCATTTATTTTCTTCAAAGAAATTATAACGTCGTATTAAATCGTGATTATAAAATAAATGTGCAGAGTGACAAAATGTTTGCTCATAATAAATAATTTTACATCTACTGATACTAATATTGATTTACAATTAAAAACTTTAACTAAAATGTATTTTCGTATTTCCTCCAGAAAGTTGATGGTCAATTAAAAAAATCTAAAAAATTTTTTGTTTTGTTTTTTGTTTGCTTGTAGCAACAATTTTTCATCTAATGTCTTCGAAATCATGAAACATACTAAAGTTAAAATCAGTTGCTATATTTCGCTCTTGTAGACTGTTTAATACATTTTCAAAATGTAATATTTTCATTACGAATAGACGATTTATCATCGTATATATTTTTTTAATTTTAGTGAAATTTTTCATCAGGTATTTTAAAAAATCAATATCTCAATTATTTACGGAAATTTCGGAACACTGTTTTCACCACTGTTTTCAGCTTACGAAATTTTAGAAGCTACAGGAGAAGCACTGTCAACTTATCTGTTGGAAATGAAATACTGTAAAAGAAGCTTGTGTCGAAGAAACTGCTTTTACTGTACCTCATTTCCGACAAAAAGGTCTACAATGTTTTTCCTGTAATTTATGGTTTTATAGGCTGAAAACAGTGGTGAAAAGCGATTTCCAAAATTTCCATAAATAATAATTTTAACTATTGATTTTTTAAAATACATCATGAAAAATTTCAAAAACATTGTAAAAATAATGATGATAAACTTAAAAAGCTGTCCTTGTGTTATATAGAGAAGGTTGTGGATATGTTATATTTAATATTTCATAATAATAAGTCTGTTAAGTTATAAAAGGTAGCTACTGACCTTAAGTGTTACATTGTACATATCCTAAAGTGTTATGTAATTATCCCCACCAAGTTGGTACAGTAACCACATAAAATTCCTTCAAATCGTAGATTTAAACAGCGCTGTATTAGTAATTTGACATTCCAGTTTTTTCATCTTACCAACTACCCCCAAAAATGGAATTAATTTATAAAAGCAAAGATAAGTTTGTCTAAAAAAAATACAATCTTTATATGTATAATAAAAGCTTAAAAATTATTGGAAAAACCTAAAAAAAAAAAATGGACTGCGTTTGGCTCGGAACACGCAGTCGTGTCACGCCGAACAGCTGTTTTTCGAAATACTCACCGGTCCCATGTTGACGAAGCCATGCCTGGAAGCCACCTCGTGCGCCTCCTCCGGGTCGACATCTCTGCGAAACTTGACGAGGAACGAGTTACTGAATAGATCAGCACCAGCTGAGAGGCCAAAAGTCGAAACAAAAAGCAGCAAAAGAGGCCTCCAAGAAAGAGGCATCGTCAGGTCACAGCTGCAAGAACTCGACTGACGCCGATGGCGACGCTTACGACGCGCAACTCATTTGACGTCACGTGCATCGATTTTACCAAACACGCGCTTCTGCCGTTACTATTTTACATCAATTGATAGGTCTCGATATCAGGATATCTTGTATGTGGACTTTGCTTACCGGAAGATAATGGGCGGTGAAGATAATTGCAAATGGTGGAGTAGTAATTTGTGGGAGGAGGGCGGGGGTGGTACTTTTAATTGGGAGCTAATTGGAATTTATTTGGTTGGAGTGGTTGGTGACGGATTTCGTGAAAAGCACTCAAGCGTGGACTTCGAAAAAATATTAGATTGGTAGAGTGGATGGTCTACTTGAGGTAGTTGTTTTTGGGACGTTTTGAGTTTTTTTGTGAAATAAAAATGTTTTTGCAACTGAGTATGGTTACGAGAAGTCTACACTTATGTTTCTTTTTTAATTTCCAAGAAATGACTATTTTATTTAATTATTGTAATGGGACCAATTTGATGCATGGTTAATTTCTTCTTTTTTTTATGTAGGTGGCGAATTATTACGTCTCCCTTTGTATATATATATATATCTGTAGTTTTTGTGTCGTCTGTATTTGTTTATATAGTTGACGGTCATATTAGAAATATCTAATTCGAAAACCCAGAAATTTGAACGTCATCGTCAATTAATATTGCCATGAATGCCATATGATTTAGAAAAAAATTGTCTACCAACCATGGAAATTTAATGTTAAAACAATTATGTTTCTTGCTTGGCTTGACAGTTATGGTCAAATAAATTGTCAAGCAAACGTCATTACTTTATTTTGTTAAAATTATTTTTCAACAACTTGTAAGTGTGAACTAATGTCCGCTGTGATCATTTTAGTGTTGATGGTATGGTAATTTTGTCCTTTGCTATAGTTCGTCTAAGGAGGGCGGTTATTAATTGGTACTGAACTTGCGGTAATTTTTACGAGATCGTCACAATGGGTGTAGTCAATTCTCTCTGCTATTGTAAGAGTAACAAATAAAAATGCTTTCAATACGGCACGTGGCCTACAACTGGCTGAGTAACGTGCTATTGTTTGTATTTATTGAATTTTATGAGGGATCCGTTGTAAAATGCTAATGAAGCCACTGTCGTAAAAGTACTATATCATTCTTTAGCCATATTTTACTTCCATCCTACGTGAAGTTTCAAACCCTTAATAGCGCCACCTTCGTCAATCTCTAGTGTAGCGGATCTCAGATAGCAACGGTTCGTAACTTTCCCGATTAGGGAAATTAAAATATGCTGCTATTTGCACTGCTATGGTGCAGTAAATTGTTATAAATTTAAATAATCAGACCATTTTTTTCGAAGATGGAAATTTCAGTTACCACTTTATTTGAATTTATTAAGAAATTAATTTTTGTCTGTTATTGCGGCTCTGTTTCCAAACGCAGTTGATCCTCTTAACACTAGCTGAAAACATTTGATAGCAGGATAGAGTGCCACTGCATTTTTCGTTGAAACTGTCATTGAAATTTTATATTTGTAGTTATTTTAAATTTTTTCATATTAATAGTCATTTTTTTTAATTTTTATGATAATCAAATCTTTGTTACTCAGAATGTAATTATAAGTTTTTCATTAAAAAAAAAAAAATAATAATAATAATAATAACTCGGATAAATTTTCGACTAAACTGAACTAAAAAATTTAAATATTTATCAATAAATTCTTACATTGTAAAAACATTTCGAAAATTTCCAAAAAGAAAAATGCTTTTCAATTAACCAGAGATCGTATTTTGAAATACTTTTGTCATATTATAATCGGTGGAGTGTTACAAGTCGACGACGGTACCGAACTAAGTTGAATCTTTCTGTGTACGCTTACTAAGATTCACCTCTCCCCTCGAAAATGTTTACGTCCCTCAGAATTCACTGACTTCACAGTTCGCGAAATGAATGAATGGCTTGAGTAAAACCTGCTCTTAAGGGTGCCCAGTCGTCGCCTACAAAATCGGTTCCAGTGAGAAGAATTGTTTTTTGTAACTATGTAACCCAAAGTACCAATCCACCGCAGGTACCGACCCAAGAGGAGATATTATGGTCACTGTAGGGAGTTTGTCATAAAATGCAAATTTGTAAACAATACCAGAGAAGCTTATTTATTTCCAAATGAAGAGTACAGGGGAATAACGTTTGAAATCCATTTGTATGTGTTTTGAAAGAAATTGAGTTGAAAGTTTAAAACGCTGCAGAAAATAGATTCAGAAACCCACAAGGTTTAGTTTAACACAACTTTTTATTTTCTCTATAATGTTTTCAAAATATATAAAATAAACTGTTTATGTCCAAATATAACAGTAAAAAAATGCAGTTGTTCCCTGTTCCAATATTGTATGAAAAAATGAACTAAGTCTACTTATTTCAAATAAGAAAAAATAAAAAGCACAATTTACATTGAACTCGTCATTATTTGATAGCTAAAACTTCTCCGACACGAACAACTTCAGTTCTTGCGCTTGATCGTATTTTTTCGTAGCCAAAAATATTGAGGCAAAATATAACGCTTCAAGGTTAGATTTCCAGATATAAAATACAGAAAAAACGAAAACATTCCTTAGCATAAAAAATTTTGAATTTAAAAAATGACATCCTGAATGGACCCAACCACATATTAGCATTCTAAAAAGTGGACAAGGAAGTTCAACAGTTTTGTCTGATGAAGTTTCAAATTCTGGGTTGTATGAAAAATTTTATGCCGCTTTGAACAGAGTCGCAAATTTATCTTCTAGTTTTAAAAATGTAATAAGAGCCAGATAGCATTTACACAAACGTTTAGTAATAGACAAATAACATGCCACAAAAAGAAACGTACTTTAAAAAGAAAACAGTGCACACAAAGTGCAGATTCTAATTATGGACATGTCGTTGCCTAAGAACTTGTTTGATCTACAGACCAGAGCGCACTCAGGCCAATATCGACTCCAAGCGATTTATCAATAAGCCGACTTTCGTTAGAGCTGATCTGATACACATCCACTGCGAAGAACTAACCCGTTTCGACCATTTGGTCGAACTGTACAGCCAATAAGTGAACGCAGTTCTAGAACAATGACAAAATTTACATTTCAAATTGTATTATCAAATGGCAGAACGTTCACCAAAATTTGCAACCAACAATGAAATGACGTAATCTCCGAATTTTACAATAGTAGATGTAATTTAAATTTTGTATCCCCCCGTTTATTAAAATTTTTCCATTCTTCAAATTTTCGATTTCTCCTTGTTTTTATTTTTCGATTTCTAAATATTTCAATTTTTCAATTTTTCAAAATTTTGACGTTACTAAATTTTCAGTTTTCCGATTTCTGAAGTACCTACTCTTTTTTTTTATTTTCCCGTTTCTTCCCAAAGTTTCCATTTTTTACTTCTTCAGTTCTTCAATTTTCCTATTTTTCAGACTTTTGATTTTTGAATTTTTTGATTTCTCAGGTTTTTGATTTTTCAATTTTTCGTTTTTTTAGTCTTACGATTTTTCGACTTCTGAATTTCCCAATTTTCAGTTTTTCGTTTTTTAACCTTTACATTTTTCAATTTTTCGGCTGTTTTATATTTCGATTTCTCAATTTTTCGACTTTTCCATATGTTAATTTTTCAATTTGGAAAATTTTAGATTTTTCGATTTCTCGAGTTTTCAGTTCTTCTATATTTCAATTTTTCAATTTTTTAATTTTCGGGATTTTTTAAATTTTAGATTTTCCAATTTTTCGATGTTTCGATTTTTCAATGATCCGATTGTTCAATTCCTCGATTTTTAAATTTTAGATTTTCCAATTTTTATTTGTTTCATTTTTTCGTGTTTGGATTTTATTACTGCTAAAAGTAAAATTAAAAAATAACTACCAAAATTGTGACTAAAAATCAGTAAATAAAAGCATCTAAATAATAACTATTTCCCGCAGAAATTCTGGACGCTTAGAGTCGACATTGGCCTGAGCGCGCTCCTGTCCGTGGATCAAACAAGTTCGCAGGCGAGGATGTGTCTAACGAAGCAGTTGAAATACCTGATATGTCACAGCGCAAAAAGTATTTCTCGAAAAACGTTTAAACGTTGATGTCTTTTTAATCGAACAAAACACAATTGGCTAATGCAATAATCCAGAATGGTGCGCAGAAAAATCCTTTAGACTAACCGCACGTTATTTTGGTAAAATTTGGAAAATGAGAGAACAACTAACACGGCTAATCCTACTGTGAAAAATATTCTATATCCCTGCAAATCTAGTTCAACATGTACTCTCCCAAAATCTTTGTAACATGGTATAGAAAATGAAGCAAAGGCAGGTAAATAAGTGATTAGTGAAGTGATGAGAATCTAAATCTTGTCAGTTTTGTGTATTGAATCATATATAAAATGACAGAGTAATAAAAAATATTCGATTAATTTTTTGAAAGAAAATGTTTTTGTAAAATGTATAAAATTATAAAAATTTGCATACTTTTAAATCAAATTATGTCAGCAATGAAAGAAGTCGACTTGTAAAAAGTTTCAACAATGTTCATAAGCTAAGAGTATTTATGAGTTTTATGACCTAAACTGATTACCTGAAAGGGTCGGTCGCCAAGGCTCCCTGCTGTGTAAAACTCAACCATTTATAGAAACGGATCCTTTGTAAATAGGGTTGCCTAGTTTCACTTTATTTTAATTTTTTAATATTTTTTTAAAACGCAAATATTTTGATAAATATAAACTTTAAACAAAAATGACCAGTTCTTCCCCATAGAGCTCAATGTTGTCTTTGCAATGATATAAAAGTTGAAGGGAAACATGCTCTCTTCTCGTTTAAAAAAGTGATTAACTTCGAAGAATGAACGATTAATTAAACACTAAACAATCACTTATTTTAAAAAATATTGTTTCTTCCCCAGAGATTTAGACATAATCTATCAATTGAAATGTCGATTTTTTGTTCAAAGTTGAAATTACGCCCGTACAATGAAATTCTATTTAGCTCATTTTTCGGCCAGCTACTGGGCACCCT